CTCGTGTTGAGAGCTGGAAGTCTCCCTGCTGAGCCCCAAACATGGGTATTTCCCCACACTGGGGCGCGATGGAGGGAGGCGGGAAGCTACAAGGAAATTCAGCTCCCCTGGCCGGGATCGCTTTCCTTCCGGCTGCGTTGTCCCGCTGTTCCCGCTGCGCTACGCACGCCTCCCCCGACTGAGCTTGGTGTGCTGCCTGTTGGGGCTTTTCCCCGCAGGGGGTGGTTGGCTCTGTGTTTCACACCGCACCAATCCCTTCTCCGCGCCTTTCCCAGCTGTATTTGACAGGAGCCGTGTACAGTTTGGACGGATCCGATAGCCTGAAGGAGACTATGCAGACCAGCGTCAGTTATCCCCACCAGGTACGTGACCCGCGCCGGGTTCAAAACCCGCCCCTCGAGCTGAAGGACCGAACCACGCCTCCGGAAACCTCGCTTTGGGTCCGGTTCCCTGGAGACTAACAGTTCTCCAGGCTCCTCAGACTGCAGATGTTACCGTTACCCACCGCCTTACGCTGAGGTGTTTGCGTTTGCAGAACGAAGACGGACCAAACGACGACCTGCAGCGTGTTGGCATCACAGCCAGGAACGTCCCTGGCCGGGCCCAGGAAGCTGCGGAGAGCCTTGGCGTTGAGCTGGCCAATCTGCTGCTGAGCAAGGGAGCGAGGCACATCCTCAGCGTGGCACGGCAGCTCAACGACGCCCACTAACCCGCTGGGGTGTCCCGCGGGCAGCTGCGGCCCCGCAGCCTCGGCAGCTGCACCATAGTCCCCCCCGGAGGGATTTATTTACGTGTTCCCACTGGTCTTGTCTGATATTCGGGCACAAAACTTGAAATGCTAAGCTGACTAACGAGTAGTTTACACTGTTCAGGGTTTTCGGCCCTCTCTGCGTTCTCAAAGTTGCAGAGTGTCTCGGAAAGTTTGTCAACAAGTCTCATAGTTAAGAAATTGAAATCGGAAAGCGTTCTCCTGTTCCGCTTAGGAACGAGGCACTTGTTCCGGATCCCCCTCGGACTCAGCTGCAGCGGTACGGAAGTGCTGTGCTGACCCTACTAAGTGCTTTCGGCAGGCCTCGGCTACCTGAGGCTGGTCACTCATCAGAACCCTGGAGAGGAACACAACCCTTTGCTTCCTCACTCCAGGCTTCTGTGGGGAAGAGACACAGATGCTCCTCAGAGGCCTCAGTTAAGAAATTAACTAAGTGAATCTGTTAATTGGCCAGTAATGAGCTAGGGAGTGAGGAGACCACCAGCCTGCCCGCCCACAAGGGTCCCCCGAAACAGCCGCCCGCCTGCCATGCCCAGCCCGCGGAGGACTGAAGAGGAAGCCCAGATCTGGGCTGTTGTGCCTTTCTACCCCGTTAGCCCTCCTTTTGCTGCGGCTCCTTGCACTCGCTACGGAGTCGCCGTGCTCTTGGTGGGGCTCGTGTTACAGTAGTGCCTTGTAGAAACACTGGAGCGGCAGCTCACAGGGGTCCCTTTTTGGAAAGGAAGCAGCGTTTATTCTCTATGCAACGGGTGATAAATACAGCGCAGTTGTGAGCACCCCTGGGGCGAATATCGAGTCT